CGGTCTGCTGAATAGCCCTGCACCATTGCCAACACCTCTATCTTCTTAGCATTCTGGGCATATTCCAGCCCCCTAACACACGCGCTCCACACGGCTTTCGTCCAGCCCCCGGTCTCCCTCCTTAAACTTTCAAGTTGGGCCTTCACCTCCTCCAGCTTTGCCTCCAGTGGCTTAATTTCTCCTTTTGCGTACGCCGCTTTGTTCAGTAAAGCTCCTGCTAAGGCCGTCGCTTCCATCTGGGCTGAGTACAACCCCTTTAGCAGTTCGGCCTCTGTGAAACTTGCCATACGCACGGCCGTATCCTCCACTACTCCCAAGAGCTGATCTGCAGCAGTCCTAGCTTTACCTCCTTCTCCCTCCAGTTGGCCGGACACTGTTGGAGTGTGGTAAATGGCAGTCTTTAACTTGGCCCTCTCTTCTCCTTGGGGTACAGGACCCCCCTTGGGCTGTTGCTCTGTCCCCTGCTTAGGGCCAGTCGCCCTACCATCCACTTGTGTTTCGGGGCCCAAGGCATTCTCCATCCCCTTCACTGTTCCCTCCAACTCCACTTCGGGGGTCCCCTCTGCCATCCCCTCCTTCACCCTTTTCAAGGCTGGCCCCTCATCTCTTTTTTGTACTTTCTTCTTCTTCTTCAACACAGCCTTCACCTCCTTTTTGCACTTTTCCTTCAGAGGATCCACTGGAGGTGGTCGTGGCTCAAAACTGCTCAGGTCCTTCTCCCTCAGCGGCTTGGGGCGCGGTTGGACTCGTTTCCTCACGATCAGTTTGGGCGGTCGGCCTAACTTGGCCTCTTTGTACTGATCGGCCTTGGCAAAGGTGGTTCTGTCCTCTACCTCCTATCTTTTCCTCCTCGCCTCTAGTTCTGCCGGCGCAAGATCTCCACCGGTCGGCTGAGGGCCCAGCCTTGAGTCAAACAAGACTGAGGGCTGAATGAGGTCGTCTCACTTGGTGCCCTCATTCTCTCTCCATGCCTTCACCTTCTTCACCCTCTCCTCTGCCTCCACCTCCAACCTTGGCTTAACCGACTTGGTTGGCACTTTCCACACTGTGCGCACTCCTACTCCCCCGTTGGCGGACATATAGAACCACTGTGGCCTCCACCCCTTCACTGACGACGGTAACCCCGCCACCAAACCCTTGCTTGTAAAGCGACCCAAGTCTCTTGCTGGCACGAAGCCTTATAACATGCAAAAAACTCATCCACCGTCATTGTAGCCCCCTCGTTCGCCCGCGGCCACGCGCTTGCACATGCCAATAAAATCTTCCACGCATTGGGCATCAGTTGGCCCAGAACCACCTCCAACCGATTCAACACGTCCACTACTATCCGGGGAAGCGGCAACCTCAACTCCCCCTTTAGCGCCTCTTCGTAGAGGGAAAACTCCCCCGGTCGAGCGTCAGACGGCCTCTCCTTCGACGTCGGCAATTTCAACTTTATCTCCGCGGGAATCTGATACCTCTCGCACATCTCCTCCAACTCCTCCGTCGTACATGTCGATTTATCAGCCTTCGTGTACCAGTGGTCCAGCTCCACTTAACTAATAGGTTTCGCGGCCGCAATCATCGTCCTAGGACGAGTCTGCACTGCCTGACTAACTACTCCTCCTCCCTTCGCTCCGCACGGTACTGTTCCGCCAACTCCACCACATCATCGTCGCCTAACAAATCAAGCCTTGCAGTTGCTACTTCCTTTTGGGCCATTTCTCTTGTGTGTCTGCGAATGGCTTCGGACACGGGCACAAGAAAGTTCACAAAATGTTGCAGAGGTGTATCACTGGAAACAAACGAGTTTACTTTTTGAACGTTTTGGTTTTTGCAAAAAGATAGATAAAGCGGATAACACCAAAAGCCCAAGGATTGCCTGTATTCCAAGGGTCACGATTAAATTTTGCCAGTTTGAAAATTTTCAAAAATCTGCCAAAATTGTTTTTTCAACGCCCTATGTTAACCTACCCCTTTGTTTCTTGCCCAACACCTAACCTCCCCCATTACGGGATTTCGCCATGTGTACGACTACGATCCACTACCCCTTTCCCTTACCATGTCTTTTCCACTTCAAATCACCATGTGCCCTGCCACTCCTCGAGCCCCGCGCACCGCCACTTCTCCCTCCACGTGGTCACCCTTCGCGGTCAGCCCCCTTACGGTCGGTCCCTTCACTCGGTCACCCTTCGCGGTTGGCCCTCCTCACTGTCGGTCCCTCCACTCGGTCACCCTTCGCGGTTGGCCCTCCTCACGGTCAGTCCCTCCACTGGGTCACCCTTCACGGTCGGCCCTCCTCACGGTCGGTTCCTCCACTCGGTCACCCCTCGCCGTCAGTCCACCCCTTGGTCGGTCTTCGCCCCGCCGTTATCTTACAACCCTTGTTTTCTTCATTATTCCCTTCGTTGGACTAAAGCTGCACTTGGGAATGGGGGACTACTGACATAGGTGAGCCCATAAAGGATATGGCCCACCACCTAAGGTCCAATCCATGATTTAAATACTAAAGCCCAACACTCGTGAAACCCAGTGTTGCACTAAACACCAATGACATCTAAACACTTGGCAAGTAGAGAATCACCCACATCAGCAGACAAAGATCCTGCAAAGTTATTGCACCACACATCAGCCATTAATGAGCTTTCCTGCAGCATTTATTGCGATAACCCTTCCCCGTTGGGACAGAACGGCCTCACCATGAACAAGGTAAGCTAGAGTATAGACTTTCGGCCAAGGTGACAGGTCGGAAGGGACAACGAAATGATTAGCAGAGGATATAAGCAGGCATCGAAGACAAGGAAAGGGTTAAGCTTTTCTATCACTAATCCATCTCTACTTTCCATCTCTCTTTCTAACTTACTTGTCGGAGGGTTCGCTGGGGGACTCCTCGTTCCCCGTTGAACTCTTGTGCAGGTCTCTCAATGGGTTTGGTACCTCAGGCACCGATTTGGGAAGCGTGGATCAATCCGACCCGTTCCATCTGAAACACGCTGCATCATCAAATATATAGATAGATTTGATCCCCAAATTATAAATATTGATCTAAATAAGGACAATTGAAGATACCATTGCTCAATTTCAAAGGCAAAGGCATCAATTTGATAAAATATAAACTAATTTGACAAAAATAAATGTCAAAAAAATGTTTTTAAATTTTAAAAAATTATTTCCGCCTACCAAAGATAAAATTATGTAAAATTGATAAATCTTTTACACATTTATTTATTTATTTATTTTTCCAAATTAAATTTTATTATGTGTTTGGATGATGATCATGTAATAGGTGGTTGTTAGGTTTTTAATATGTAATCGATACATTTAATATATGAAATGTTTTTAATTTTGAATTTTTTTATTAAATGGATTGGTTTAATAATATTAATGTTGTCGCTATATTTGACTTTCGGAAAAATATAAACTAATTTAATGAAAATAAAAACAACCGCATATTATATGATCATCAACCAAACACATAACAAAAATTAATTTGGTAAAAAAACTTAAATAAATGTGTAAAAAAATTATCAATTTTACATAATTTTATCTATAGTGAGTACAAATAATTTTTTTAAATTTTAAAATATTTTTTTGACATTTATTTTTTTCAAATTGGTATTTATTTTATCAAATTGACGACTTTACCCTTGAAATTGAGCAATTGTATCTTCATTTGTTCTTATTTGGAACAAGATTCAAAATTCATGGTCAAATATATTACAATTAAAAAGTCAAAAACCAAAATAATACAAGTTCTAAATTATAAGGACCATTAGTATAATTCGCCCTAAATCAAATTAGGGATCTAGCCCATTACAAAAATAGCCTTTGAACTTTCTGCATGTTTTAATTATGATATTTATAATATTAATTATTATAAATGTCATAATTAAATTACTTTTTATCATAATTAAAAAAAATTTATAACAAATACAACATAGGAATAATTAATTTTTCTTTGAATCATAATTAATATCACAATAAATGATGAATCAGTAATTGTTGTGTTTCAATTTGAGGTTTATTATAAGCTTATTTTTATGATTCAAATCGTTCATTTTTGTAGGGTTCGTTGAGTACTTCATACTTACTAAAAACCATATTAATTGGATATCAATAACTATATGATCGAATTACATTTATCATAAAAAAAATAAACAATAAGTTTTTCTTTTGAGAAAAAACATAAAAAATATACAATCCGATCACATAATTATTGATATCTGATTAATATAATTTTTGGTAGTCATGAAGTATTCAACGAATCCTACAAAATAAACGGTTCGAATAATAAAAATAAACCCATAATAAACCTCAAATTGAGACACAACAGTAATCTCATGTCCCACGATAAGTCATTACTAAAATCACGATGAATCATAATCAAGGTATAATTAAGGGGAAATTATTGGAAAATCCCATTTGGGAGAGTTTTAGATCAATAAGTCCTCCTTCTAGAATAATAAACGTGGGAGTCCTATTTTTTTGAAATTGTGTTGTGCATGACGTTTGTACCCTTTTATGTTTGGTATTTGAATACGTTTTTGGGAGGGTTTGATATTTATCCCTTCGATTACGTTGGTGTGTGGACGTTATGGAAGAGCATATATTGCCAGATTTGTAGGGATTGCAAGGTTCATCAGAATTTTTATTGAGGGGGAGACAAGGCGTTCTAAGTGTGGTTGAGTTTTATATTCGCTTGTGGTTGTGTTCTGGAGTCCGTGGTGCAGCATTTTCCGAGTTCGTCGACGGTAATGTATTTTCTTATTTTTTTTCAATTTCGTTTTATTGTTAGTTGTTATTTTTTCCTTTTGTTTTTGATTGTGGGGGTGGGGGAATGGGGTTGCTGAAATTGTAGTGTGGGGTTGTGTGATTATCATGTTGGGACATTCACATAACAGTGCAAAATGATTCGTTGGATATGCGCCGGCGGAAACCTTTGTAACGTTATACGTTTAATACATACTTCATGAACATGATTTGCATGTTTAATTTATTTTTTTCCTTGTTTCCGTGTAGGAATGGGTGACTGTATAATGTTGTTGTGTTCGTACGATAACAAGAACGTTGTTGTTGTGGTGTGTGTTGATTTAACGTTTAGAAGATTCACCACTCATGTATGCGAACGTTTCGATGGACTGACGCCTACTTCGGTTTCCCTGTCATTTAAGATCCCAGGTTACAATAATTTCAAAATGGAGAGCGAGGCAGACTTCCAAAGCATGTTATCTCTTGCTAGGTCTTTTCAGCTAGATCACATTGATGTCGATATAATAGTTTGTGGTGCATCTTGGGGTGTCAAATGTGGACGTAGTTTAACACATGGGCACGATGACACAGGTGGGGACGGTGGGGAAATGGTCACAAATATTGATGAGGAGGCTGATTTGCTACCTAATTTTTGCCAACATGCAGGAAATGTATTATTGTCGGCGGATTGGGCGGGTGGCATAACTCATATCGGGCAATGTTTCGAGGGTGGGCCAACTGAATTTCGCAAGGTACTCAGCAAATACGCCATTGAATGTGGGTTTCCATTTAGGTTCCGAAAGAATGACTTGGTTCGTATTACGGCGGAATGCATGTTTAGCGACTCAAGGGGGTGTTTGTGGTCCATCCATGCGAGGGTGTTGAATGCGAATGGATTTTTTTATCTGAAAAAGTGGTGTCGCGACCACACGTGTGGGGTTGCTGTGCGCACTGACAGGAACCCGAGGATGGGATCCGAGTTTGTTGCAGATGTTATTACGGAACGTGTGCATGACAATCCATTGACTCGCCCTACCGATGTCAAATATGATTTCAAAAAAGCATACGGGTTGCAAATTAGTTACCGTGTAGCTTGGTTGGGTGTTGAAAAGGCCAGAGGAGAACTTTATAGCGATCATTCCATGTCATTTGACCAGTTGCGTTGGTACAGCGACGCCATTATGGAATATAACCCCGAAAGTTATATTAATCTTGACTTCGATGAACACAACACACGTCATTTTAATAGGCTGTTCATATCATTCAAAGCATGCATGGTTGGGTTTAACCACTGTCGTCCGTTATTGTTTCTCGATGGTACTTTTCTAAGAGGTAGATTTAAAGGCAACCTACTTGCGACTACCGTAAAAGATGGCAACCAAGGTTATGTTCTTCATACTTGTTTTGCATGACATGGTTATGGTGGGTTCCAAAAAGCTGTGTTTGATTATACACAGCTGTGTTTGTTTTGCATGACATGGTAATGTCGTTATAGGCTGTTCCTAAAAGCTGTGTCATGATGGGTTCATACTTTGTGGTTATGGAGTGTTACACACACAGTGGAGCTATTGGGATTGATCAATTTTTTTTTTTTCTTTTTTAAAACTTCTTTTCAGGTCTATTCCCGGTCGCATTTGCAATTGTTGATTCTGAAAATGCAGTGAATTGGGCTTGGTTCTTACAAAATTTGGCTAATGTAGTTGATGGGGATCGGAACTTGACATTTGTTTTTGATCGGCACGTCGGTATCATCGAATCTTTGCCCACCGTGTTCCCGTCTGCCCACCACGCTTTTTGTATGCAACAATTACAAAGGAATTTGAAGGACAAGATAAAGTATGTGAACAAATTGTACCGTATTGGGTTGGTAAGTAAATTGCGGGAATGTACATACGCACCAACCGTTGCTGACTTTAATGAAAAAATAGAGGTGTTTATACAGTCCGGAAGGCACATTGCTGTCAATTTCTTACAGGATCTAAAGCCGTACCACTGGGCCAACGTGTACTTCAGGTAACGGAACGCATAAACATTTCATTTCATTTTTCCCCCAGCATGTTCATGACTTATTATTCCCCGTATTACATCGAACATTACATATGACAACAAGCTCACAAATTTACAGGGGCAACCGTTATGGTGAGATGTGTTCGAACGCTGCCGAATCATTCAACAATTGGATAAAGGAAGCACGCCATTTACCAATCACCCGAATGGCTGATGCAATTAGGACACAGATTATGAATCAGATGTCCGACCGTAGGGGAGCTTCAAGTTCCTGGGCTGGTGTAATATGTCCGAAGATGGAATACAAACTAGAGATGGCGTACAAGAAAGGAAGATCATGGACAGTCAATCAGTCCAACAGTGACATGTACGAGGTCCACTCACACCCATCTGTTCTGGTGGACATTGGTAGGCGTACATGCTCATGTTTCCAATTGCTGATCAATGGGCTTCCTTGCGAACATACAGTGGTCTCTATCCGCAACAGCGGCAGTGATTTGAATGCATTGGTTGACCCTTATTTCCACGTCACCAACTACCAATCATCATACTCCGAAGCTATATTTTTTATACCAACAGTTGAGAAACCATAGGTTATTCCAGGACATTATGGTATTCTACCTCTGACTATGCGGTGACCACCCGGCAGGTCAAAGAAAAAGAGGACACCATCAAAAGGTGAAGAAGTGCAACAAATTTGGTGTGGCCGTTGCGGATGTTTGGGAAATCATAACAGGAAAACATGTACCGAACCATTATAGGTTCACAAGTTGTGCGCCGAAATAACCCATTCCACAAGGCTTTTATTATTTCTTTTTAGTTCGTTTGTTAGTTCGTTTTTAATTTGGCATGCAAAATAAATTTGGTTAGTTCGATTCATGGTTGGTGTTATTTTTTCTTTTCAATTTAAACTCTTTCCGTCAATAATATGTGTTAGTTCGTTTTCAATTTGGCGTGAAAAATAAATTTGGTTACTTTGATTGATGGTTGGTGTTATGTTTCAATTTTTTAGTACTTACTCATACCACAATGCCGTTACGTTTACTTTTACTTTCCGTCCTTAACAAATATTGGTGTTAGTTTGTTTTAAAATTGATGTGAAAATTACAATGTGGTTAGCCGATTTCACGTGTGGTGTTTTGATGTTGGTTTACCAACCCTTTCCACTAGTTTTTAACATTCACTTTTAATTACCCACATTGCAAAACCTATGTGCTTGTCCTATTTCAATTTTACGTACAACACAAATTTGGCTAATTTGGGAAGTGTTATTTTTTCTTTTTAATTTTCTGTCGTCATCAATATTATGTGTTAGTTCGTTTTCAATTTTGTTTGAAAATTAAATTTGGTTACTTTGATTAATGGTTGGTGTTATGTTTTTTTTGTTGGATTTCCTACTCCGCAAGGATATTATGGTTTCGTTTAATTTCCGATGTTACCAATAATATTAGTTAGTTCGTTTTCAAATTAACATGGAAAAAAAATTTATGTTTGCTGTTGGAATACATTTTTCATGAATTTGTAATACATTATGTACATATTGCAAATTTGACTTCTGCTATACCACCAGAATTGGAATAATCCCACACGTTGACATGCACGAACGCGATTTTCGATTTTCATATTTACTTTCTTCGTTACTAACCATGTTTATAAGTTCGGGCATGCTGGGAATGTTATTCAAACGCACATGGACCATGCAGCATGGAGGCATGAGACCCACTACGGGGATTTAATACAAAAGTATCCTTACACGTGGTTAACAAGTCACATGCATTTGTGGGTTTGCCACATTCATGTCCAGCATCGAGAAACAATCAATAAAACTGCAAACACAAGCCTACACCAATTACATTCCAACCGCATTAATTCACAACAAAGTCATAATCAGGTTATAACTGCGTTCATAATTCTGACTTCCACTACAAGTATACTTTACACATTCCGCATTACATACTCCCGAAACTACTGTCTTTGTTACGGATGTCAACCTGGATAAAGTTCAGGGACTGTGGCAAGTACTGTCTGCATTTTTTACATCACAAAAAACACATCGTCTGATTAACAACCAGTCAAGCAAACAAGCACTCATAAAGCTTTTTGTAAGAGAAACATATCCAAATAAGTATAAACATTATCACCAAAAAATTGCATTTTGTTGACAGCAAATTGACCATATAACCCGGACACATCGGACCGGTAACTCCCAAAAAAACCACTAGTTCAATTTTAATATGAAGCAAATGTATCATCACTGCTTGTCTTACTAAACTGAAGGACAATTACTATGTCCATACAAAACAAAAAAGTTCCAACATAAAAAAAAAAAAAAAACATAACGATTCAACGGCAGTCACATTATTTGCCTCCCATGACTTCCATCCCTTTCTGTGGGTCATTCACAAAAGCTTCCACCATAGTTGCACGTGCACTGATGCAAGTAGTACCTTCCATTGCCTTATGGATCCCGACATTGTGTACATATTGCCGCATTATGTAATAAACGATGATTGTACAGTCAGGTCTGCCATGGATGGACATAACACAGTCAAAAACAAGTCATCAACTATAGCATCCAATGTAATGTGGAAAAAAATTTGAAAACTCAGATTACTTTCGTATCTGCTTGCTGTTGTGGACAATCAGTAACTGCTTTTAGCATCATGTTCTCGTCTTCGGTACAAACAATCGCATTGTCCCCGGCTACCAGGCATGTTCGCCGAATGTAATCCAGCACATTTCGTTTCTGTTACATTAACCAAGAATCAAGTCTCACACAATGCCTCCCCATTGACATATGCAGACACGACTCTACAGAAAATTTAGAAAATTAGGCTATTACTGTAACAATTTTGGGATAAACATACCAAAATTGATGCTACATTGTAATGTATGTCTTCCGAACCAGTGCGTGACATAAGCGGGTTGTAATGTTTCCACGACCTATCTTCTGTATCGTACACCACTAACGTCCAGTGTCTTTTATGGCATATAGGGAAATGTAAGTATCTACAACCAACGCATGCGCGGAAGTTGGCCTCCAAGTATCGATCCCTTGACATATCACTCATGTTCACCACCATATCCTGCGTTCCATGACATGCCCACAACTTCAAACAACAACAACATACCCTAATACTAGAATTATAACTCATGTGTCAAAAGAAACACATACCAGACATATACCACTGAAAAAGTAGGACTTCTCTGGGGAAACCACTCCTGCCGCAAGCACATTCTGTTTGCTCACCAAAAGCTCTGCGCATACGTCGACCACCTGTTAACAACCAGCTACACATTCAGTCCAAATATTCACTACCACGACTGTCATGACCCAAACCCGTCCCTATGGGTTAAGGCTATAACCAACCAGTAATCACGAGATTACCTACGACCTCAAACAAAATAAAGAAAAACTCATTAGAGTAAAGGGGCCAAACGGAAGCAATTCAAATCTTTGTCCATAGAGCTGTACTTACATGGCACATCCAAACAACCAAACATATATAGATTAATAACTCATAACAGAAGTACAGTAGCATAAGTTCTGTATAGACAGGATCATATAAGTCTAAGTCAACCCATCAAAACTATATACAGGTATATACAAAGTCCTCGCCAACATGACAAAATAAACAAGACAACAAAAGGGCGAAGATGAGTCTCATGCGTGAGACGTTTGGGCTGACTCTTCAAAACTTTGACTGTTTCTCACAATTTCACCGGGGCTAGTTTTGGACATCCCTTGGCTCACCTACATGTACACGAATGAGCGTGAGCGAATGCCCAGTGAATAATATCAAATGAGGAAGATACATAAGCAATCATTGAAACAGTTACAGTAGACGCCTTTTGGCCTAACCATTTATATCTATCGGCCTTTGGCACAATCATTTATATTTATCGGCCTTTGGCCCAATCATTTATGTCAGTCGGCCTTCGGCCCAGTCATTTATGTCAATCGGCCTTCGGCCTAATCATTCATGTCAATCGGCCTTCAGCCCAATCATTCGTGTCAATCGGCCTTCAGCCCAATTATCCATGTCAATCGGCCTTCGGCCCATGTCAATTGGTTGTCCATAATTCAAATTAGCAAACTTATAAAGAAATAAGCAATTGGACAATTGACAAACTTCAAAATATCGATATTACTCACAGTGATCGGCTTATGGATTTGCCCTGGAGCTTGACCCTACACATCATAAAACACATATGGGTCACAAACGATTCAATCCGTTCTCTAATTCACATATTCCTCTTTAGGCTTCATTCTTATTTCTTTAACTCAATTACAATGCTTAATACATGCCTAAGAGTGCTTGCAAGTGAAAGAGAACGGAAAACGAAACACAGAACAATCATACAAAATTTTCAGAAATAGGGTCCCCGCTCGAGCGTGGACTTCCCCGCTCGAGCGGACCCATAAGATCTGCAAAAGTACTGGTTATGCCATTTTTACGCTCGAGCGTGAAACTTGGACACTCGAGCGGAAGTCTATCCTACATTGTAACAACCCTCACCACTGTTTACCGATAAACTACTGATTACTGCTAAACTGAGACTGATTATGAAAAGTAATTGAACTGATTGAAATACTGAACTGACTGACTGAAATCTGAAACTGATTGATTGACTGTACCTGTTTAAATGCATTATCTATCTGTTTGACTGTTTGATTATATGTCCATATTCTATGCTTTAAACTGCAAATTGAAGGCCTTGTTTGCGGCTGAATCCGAAATTGATCGATGTTTTATGATCATTAGAATTTATGTGATTTTATGATATATTTATTTGAAATATGATTTGGTATGGTTAAATTAGATCAAATATTCATAAATTGCACTAGCTGGACTTATTTACTATCTTGCCACTTAGTGGCCCATTATATGGAACATTTGGAGCCTTTGATACACATCATTCTTGTTCATCTTAGAGAGGGACCAAACCATAGGAGATAAGTGAGAGAGTGAGAACTTGGCTTCAATTGATAATTGGCTAGAGAACTTGAAGGAATTGTAGAGGATTTGTGCAAATTGAGTGTCTACACTTGAATACAAGACTTAAAGTAGAGTAATTACCTTCTTGATTGTGTATTTGAGTTGATTCTTGCATGGTTCTTGAGCCTCTAGTGATTTAAGCCTAGAATTGGTCCTTATATGTTGAATTGAATCTCATTCCATAAATGCATGCTTATATCCTAGCATTTTGAGGTTCACTACATGGAATTTGGTACATGCATGTTCATATTATTGGTATAGTCCATGATTTCATCATGTTGTGGAAAGAATTGGCTCAATTGAGCTAGCTTTTGAAGCTTTGAAGTTGTTGAATTCATGCATGTTACACATTCAGCATGTTCTTGAAATGTTGGTTGAAATTGGGTTTAATTCCCTCACCTTTGGGCCTTGATTTTACAAATTGAGTTTTGAATCATGTTAAACTTTGAGTTTTGAAGTGTTTTCTAGGAAATGGGCCCAAAGGAATCGAATTTGATACGTTTGAAGTTGAATTTGAGCTTGAGGTTCAAATCTGGGAATTCCAGATTTTGAACTCACCCTCGAGCGGGGTGATTGGCGCTCGAGCGTGAAAT